AATGAATGAAGAACTACACCCCGTATTTCAAAGACCTACAGCACCCATTCAGGTAAAAAAAAATAATTTATCAAATTGTAATGAAAATTTCATTATGGAATATTCAAATGCACAATAGCTATGTTTAACTAGAAGTTCACATTATTATAATCAATACTTTCAGAATCAACAACCTATACAAGGAACATCGCGTTCTATCCAAGATCAAGCACGAAACTCTCGGCCGTAAGCCCTGGGTATTGTGCGGGATGTCATCGTGGTCTTATTATAGCTACTTTTAGTAAGTATTCAAATTTAATCCTATAGTGCTAACATTTAATCCTTTTGGATTATTTTGATGAAAAATCCCAAATGATTAATATTTAATCCCTTCTATTTTACAGAGTATCAACGGATTTTATGATCTTGCGTCGTAGAACTATGAACGAACTGCCAAGTGTTTGTGTGTATGTGATTTTGCGTTGTACATAGTAAATCTTGGGCTTGTTTGCACATCAAATCGCTTCAAGCACAATTCCAAACATGTAATTGATTTTTTTCCCACTTTTCATTTGATGTTTCGTGCAGAGACTTTGCTGCATGCGATTTAGTTTTGATTTTCCTCTTCTTCTTTTGAGAAACAAACACCAAATTATTTGGCATTTAATCGTAAAAGGTAGAGATGAATAAGATCATAATAATTTTCCGATTGTAATGGAGATATCATTGCACACCGCTATTGTATGCATTGCCAAACCTCTTTACAGCTACAGCTCACAAGAAGATACAATGGGGATTAGACGGAGTGAGAGTTGACTTTGCATAAAATGATAAACGAATGAATCAAATCTAAGCTCACGGTAAATCTTTTTTCGATCTACTGAAATGAGACGTGTGTTTGTTTAATATATATTTGCCAACAAAAACATTTTTTTTCTTCGCAATTCAAAATAAAATGGACCTTTGCATCACTTTCTTTGCGGTAAGCCGTTTTCGCTAAACAACACACACGGAAAACAAACATACTCGGATTTAAGGTGTAATTGGTCGTAAATCTTCTCATTTGTGATTGGCTTTAAATCACTGTATTTCAGATGATTTTTTTCTTCTTCATTTAAAATAGAAAATGTTTATAGCAATTTTATAAAATAAAAATCATTTCCTTGTCATGTCAGAGTTAAGAGTTATTTAGAGGTAAAAGTTTCTATCGGAAACGAAGCTCCAAACTTACAATTCATTCTTTCTCTCTCAATTACCACAATAATATTACTTAAGACCGGTCATTATCCAAACGAACGAAAAAAATCTAAACTATTTTTTTTTTTTCGATAAGAAGGAAGTCGGTAATTAATAATTCAGATTGGTATCTCGAAAATTATTGTAGAAAGGTGTTGTGTTAGAATTCAAATTCAATTGTGGCTTATCTAAGATTCCGTGAATTACAAAACGTTTAATTGACGGTTTTTTGGTAATGAAAACCAACGAGAAAAAGTCGAAATGAAGCAATTCCATGGAATTACGGAATGTGTTCGTTTTTATTATTATTTTATCAAACAAAAACAATCACTCAGAAAGTCGAATAAATTATATATAAAAAAAAAAAATAATTGTTATAACAAAAATAAAAATAAAAAATCAAAATGCATTCTCTACAGTGCACGATGAAGATGTTATTATCAAAAACTATGCCAATCAAACGACGCACGCAATTTTATGGATTTTATACATTACAAGGTGTTGTTCACGCAAGCAAAAGGGGAGAGAGACAAAGAGAAATGTGAACCGATTATTACATGAAATATTGTGAAATTATTTCTTCGAAATTCATTGCCTGCCTTTAATTGGTTTTGTGTAATTTCAACTTATCAAGCTTGAACCAAAAATTCGAACGTGTCCATCAATTGAATTGTTATCATTCGAAATGAAGAAGAGTAAGAGAAAAAAGCAATAAAAAACGACGATGAGAGAGTGAGTGTAGCTGAACCCATTTTTACATTTTGCTTGCAATAAGTTTACTGAAAAAGAATAAATTCAAGAAAAGAAAAAATCCATAAAAATTGATTCACTTTAAAATCTTCAAGCAAAAAACTAATAATATTTCCGCATTTACAGCAGCAAAAAAATCTCTCGTTGTGCTTCATATATACATATTACCATAAACAAAGTAGTCTCATACTGTTGGTCCGCACGTGGTGTGTGTATTTACAGTTTACACTGCATACTTTTGCTATGACGTGCGTACACGCGGTCGTCTTTATAGAGCTGTACAGAGTCTATATTGTGTGTACTGTGTTCGGTTTCGTTTTTATTTTCTTTGAAGTATATAATCCACTGGTGCAACGTATCACCGTCGAGCATAAGCGTTTGCTCAAAATAGACGTTCAGCAAGACTATACTTCACAGGATCATTTCTGTAGTATTTCTTATACTTTCGACTTTGGTTAACACTAGAGCGAACGGCAACCACGATGACGAGCTGTGGTGCTTTATCTGAAAGCGTGAGGGAGATTCGTGTGGTTTTTTGTTGCATTTCATGTATCGAAACTCACAATCGTCGATGATCGCTAACCCGTTGGTTACTCAGCGGGACACGGATAAGGTGCTTTCTGAGTGGCCACCTTTTTAAATTCTTTCCACACACAAAAAAAAAAAACAGAAAATAATGAAATACAATTTTGTATATGCAATTATTAATATAAATTATTCAATGAAATTGGTATTCTGTTTTCACGTTATAGTTGAAAAACTTACACAAATAGGTACGGTTTTTTTAACTTTCTATCATTTGACAATATTACGAAACATATTTGTTCAGAAAATGGGTACACTAAGGACCTGGTGAAAAAAAATCATCGACAATAGTTTTTTGATTGGCCAATAACACTTTGTGTATATCTTGAATCAATACCACAATGAATTTTCGATATTTCTACGTGTTTTATAATTCATACGCAAAGCCTGACATACTTTGCTCATTTTAAATTGCCTGAAATATAATGAGATCAGAGTATCATGATTTGCTGCTGCTCAGCATATAGCTGAGAGCTGAGAAATGCTGAACTCGTGCGGCTAACGCATACGAAACGGATGCACGCACACATGCATTCTCCCCGTTTAAACGGTTTCAAACAGTTGATTGGATGTTCAATTCAAAACTCAAAACTTAGTAACCAGTTGAGTTTGAAATTGTGTTGCAACCGACATATGAGAAGCTGCGACGAAAACATCACATCGAATCCCTCGCTATTTTGCTTACGTAAGTGAAAGCAAGAGATGAGATGCGACGTGCTGTTTTTGCTCTCAGTCTTTCATATATTCTGAAAGTGTACGTCTAACGCATACGAAACGGATGCACGATACATATTCCCCTTTTACTTCGTATGTTCGCTGGTATAGTGTGTTACCGTTGTACCGGCAATAGCGTCAACGGCAGCACATACGACGCGAAAGGGGAATATGTATCGTGCATCCGTTTCATATGCGTTAGCCGCACGAGTTCAGCATTTCTCAGCTCTCAGCTATATGTTGAGCAGCAGCAAATCATGATACTCTGAATGAGATATATTTACCTCGTTCAATTGAGGTCACGAAAAAAGAAAACAACATCGATATGATTATTTTTAAAAAAATCCACTGTATTTATTGATTAAAACTGAAAATTCTCTTAAATTATTCATAATCCAAATTATCTTCTTCATCGCTTGAAAAATCCATGCGCTTTTTTCGTTCTTTTCGTTTGTTTCGAGGCTTGCCGCCGGTTTTCTTTGCCACAAACGGTTCTTCTTCTTCTTCTACTAATTCGGGCTCTGGCTCTGGCTCTGGTTCCGCATCTTTTTCTGAATTTTCGACATTTTCTACTCTATCTACTTCGTTGTCTTCTGATTTTTGTACCTTTTCTTCGTTTTCTGCTTCTTTTTGTTTCTGCTCTTTCAACTTTTGCACAAGATACTTGTATCGCGCCAAACATTCTTCTTTCGTTTTACCGGGTACAGTGTTTGCGATTTTCTGCCATCGATCACCGGCGGTTGTTTTTGGATACTTAACTATGGCTGTTTCCAAAAGTTTTTGTTGCTCCTGCGTCCAGACAACTTCGGCAGGTGCAGTTTTCACATCGCCTGCAACTTTTTTCACTTTCTTTGTGGCCTCTTGTACAATCGATTCGGCAACACTGTCTGTTTGGCGATAGCTTGGCTCTTTCATTTTTGCCGCCATAAATGTCACCTCTTGCACCGAACGATTCATGTGCTCAGCAATGACATCCCATCGAGACAGTGTTCCATTTGGATATTTCTTGGTCAAACGCGTTAATTCATTCAAATCATCATCCGTCCAAAAACCACCACTTAATACTGGCGCCTGTGAATCATTAAACATAAAATAACTCAATCGATTTTAGAATATGCAAATTTACCAGTACCTTGGTTTCAACTGCTTTGACCTTTCCTTTCGCCATGTCCACGTTCAACTGAGCATAACCCTTCAATTCTTCATCGGTCTTTTCTTTGGCGGTGAATACTGGCTTGCGCTTTCGCATACCCTCTTTTTTTGCCTCTTTTGCTCTCGCAAATTCCTCTTCTAATTGCCGTTGTTGCTCAGCTTCTTCGGCCTCTCTGCGAATGGAACGAAAGTGATTTGAAATTGGTAAATATATCGTAGATTGCTTTAAAATGAATCTAGATTGAACGTACCTTCGTTTTTCTTCGAGTATCTGTTGTTTATAGTCATGCATATCGGTGAAGAAATCTTTAATCGCACGTGGGGTGTTCCAAACACCTCGGACAATTTGAAATGGAAGTGTATTTTTTATACTTGGTGTTGGTATTTGATTCAATAGCTCATCTATATTCACAGCACTTTTGTTTTTCTTTTGCAATTTTCGAAGTTTTGAGCCGAACAGTGATTCCTATATACAATGAAATATAATTGGAAATCACACTTTAAAAATGAACATATGTGTCGTTTCGTGTACTTACAGCTGTATACTTTTTTTCGGCATAGACCGCCCAAGAAACTATATACTGTCCAATGGTAAAAATGACAAAAACCAATCCAATCATTTCGGCCAATCCCATCTTGCGATAACGTCGATAATAGTACAAAGCTGATCTCCAATCTGGCAAACCATCTTTAAGTACCTTATTGTATCTGTATATCAAATAAAGAAAACGTTTGAAAATATGTCACACACAATCTCCATTCAATATAAGGTATGAATTCATACTTTTCTCGTTTGGCTGTATCTTTGAGTACTTCATAAACGGATACCAAATTCCGGAATTGAACGTTGGCATCTTCGGCGTCATTTTTATCCGGATGCAAAACGACCGATAAACTGCGGAATGCTTTACGAATTTCAGCCGACGTTGCTTGCTAAAATTATAAAAGATGTTTTAGTGCTATTTGAGTAAAAACTCAATTTGTAACTCTTCAGGATCGGAAATTACCTGGTCGACTTTGAGAATCGTATAAAAATTTTGATTGATTTCTTCAACCAAATCGAATATTTCCAGCTCTTCTTGGTCCCATGCTGACACATTCGCGACATTCAGTGCAATCAGTGTTAAAAAACCAAATAGCCCAATCAGTTTCATGTTTACTAAAAATATTGTTACTTTATGTACGATTTATCGGAAAATGGCAAAATAACTCGCATGGTTTGCGGGTGAAAAATTGTGCGTTTCCACGTAGTCTATGTGTGGATTATTTAGTGATGTGTAAACATCGAATGCCGAATATCAGAATATATTGATATGTCACTTGTATGTATTTGACGTTTCAACAGCGAACATATGGTTTAAGGCTGGTCTCGGTTTAACTAAACGAACTGCACCGAAATGAGACTTAATTTGTTATCTGAAAACATATAGAGACAACGGTAAGTAATATGAAATGATGTTTTTGCATAGTTTTTCTAGATATTTTTCGAAAAATATATTAGTATTAAAAGTATATTAGTATTAAAATACTTAATTAATGCAAAATAAACGAGTGCCTGAATTCCAATGAAGTGAAAAGGAACCTAATATTCAATTCCATAGTTAAAAAAATCGTATTTATTTTTGATAAAGTGGAATTTATTTGTTTTGTCGTTCAAGGAAAAAAAATTCCGTTGAATATTTTAAAAACAAATTGCCTGTCGGTTGGTTTGAAAGTATGCAAATGAGTATTGTTCTATGCGACACTTGAATAGTCAAGGAATGAAAACAAACGCGCACCCATACACATGCATCGCGATGGCGATGACGATGACGATGAGAAGCCAGATTCAAATATCGTTGTCGCGCTACAAATGGTGTTTTGCATAAGAAGGAATCGTACGCGCGTAATGGTTCGAATTTCTTTCTCTTCTTGCTCTCGTTGTCATACATACGAAAGAAGGATAAATATCGACCCTGTCAACTGGATCATGCGCACTGGCCGATTATCAATACCAGCGATATACAGCGTTTCACGTTTCATGGCAAACAGTAAGAGTGGTGCGAGAGAAAGAATAATCGCTTCGCATCGAAATTCATCGAGTGAAAACTGATTTCTTCTATCAAATGTTTATTGGTCGTAGTCAAAAGACAAAGACAATATTTTTTGATGAGAGAAAGTAGACACTTTGTGTAATTTAATTTCTTGCGCAAAAATAAAAACTTGAATTCAATTAGATTCGTATCGGTAGCATGAAATAGCTGCAGTTAATTAATAAATAATTATTTCATCGAGATTTTTTTTTTCGTTCATCGTTCTATTCTGTTCTTTTTGACTCGAAGTGAATGTGGGCGACGAAACAAGTTCCTACATGTGAAAAACATATATATAATATTCTAATTTTGTATAAAGAAAAAGTGTTGTGTGTGTGCGTGCAAGAAAGAACAAAGGCAACGAAAGAATCTGCATCAAGAATTCTGCTTGGCATTGTTAACCTTTTTTTCGCCTTCTCTGTGTATTTTCGCCTCGAGACAAAGTGATTGAACAACAAACCAAACGAAAAAACGAAATTTTATCGGTTGACGGAGGCATACAATGCCATTGGTGCATTGTAGCTATAACTCGATAATAAAATTGACGACAATACGAAAATGTTACATTATGGATACTTCATGATTTTCATTGGATTCATCATCTTTATTGCTGCGCCAATTATATCCGTGAGACTATTTCGTTCTTATGCAAACATCTTTTAAAAAACATTTTTCTTTCGTTTTTATTAGCTCTTACGAATTCTTTGTTTGACCATACAAACAATATTTATGTCGAAAGAGAAAATTTCAGACACTTTTTTTAACGTTACCTTGTTGGTGTTGGTTTTTTTTATCGTCTTTTTCATTTTAATTCGGTTCGGTTTGAATATACTGGCCAAAAAGAGTATTTAATGCTCTTTCATTGCATTAAAATCGGTAAAGTGTATTTATGCAAAATGCAAACATTTGAGAATCCATCCGCCATCCGTTTCGACATCATTCTAGTTAGATGTGCGCTAAGCCCTAGTCAATCAATTGTATTTTCGTAATTTAGACCAAAAAACCCATATTTATTGTTATCTTTTGTAAAAAGCAATTGTGTTACATTTTTACTGAATTACTGAATTGTATTCAACTATTTTATGTGTAAAATTTTTCAATTATGCTACTTCTTTTAATAGTAATATATTAAACGATGTAATATGCTCATTACGAGCACAATGTTGTACGATAGGTAAACGAGAGAAAATTGTGTACAGAAAATGAACCACACACAAACATCATGTGTGTACGAAGTTCTTTGTTTTCGTATCCATTTTGGATACGTACCGCTCCATCTCTCTATATATGTGCACATATATCTTCAGCTGAAATGTATCTATCTTATTCTCTGTTCATTATCCTTTCCCGCGTTACACTTCTATTTTCATTGTTATTGTATTGTTGTTACTGTTATTATTCAATATTTATTTATTAGTATATATCAAAAGCAAACACGTGAACAAAATTTGATTTAAATGTTGAATATTTATCTTTTTGTTTCATATTTATTTTCAGTGGTAAAAATCAACAAAAAATAAAACGCAAATCACATATAATAACACACAAATACAAAACAAAATCTATCGACCAACAGCAACTGCTACTTTTCTTCTTCTTTTATTCAAAACATTGAAATATCCAAATGACGTATTATTTCGGTTACGTATAGATAAAAAAAAAATATCAAAGTACTTCGGTTGTTAGATCAAACATAAACGACACAAAAAAATCGACAGACTTGATTCATTTCTTCCTTCTTCTTCTACTTCTTCTGCCACTTACATCACATCCCCCAGAGTGTGGACATAACACGATATAATATTTTGGGCAACGACACATTGTTAAATTGATTCTGGGAAAGCGAATTGCTTACGCAAAATTTGACCAAAGTGTATAACGTAGTGGGAAGCTTTTTGATTATGCATAAAACTGAGTCACTAGTAAATACAATACTCTCTTTTTTATTCTCTTCTATTTTTTTTTGTTTTTTAAATTTGACCACAATTTTTAACCACAAAAAAATCCTAGATGATTAAAAAAAAACTTTTTTCTCTGGAAACCTATTTTTAGAACCAAAGAAAAATCCAATCACATTAAAAATAGAGAAATGTAATTTTTTGCATATTTTTGTTGCGTTACATTTTGCTCCCAATTTACATTTTGCTTGTGTTGCCACAACTTTTTTCTTTTTAATTTGAACTTTTTGAAAAAGTTTGCTCGTTTATGGAATTGCATAGAATTTCCAAACCGTCCGAATAGTGGTGCATACATATGTTTGTACAATTTGTATTTGTATTTTAATTTGTCGTCATTTTTGTATGTTTTGTACCCATTGCATATGTAAATGCGCGAGAATTTATCCACTTCAGCAAAAAATCAGTTAACGAAAAACTTTCTTTTTTTCTTTCAAAAATAAAAATCACAGATTTAACACTTCACTCATTTACTGTGTTTCGCTCTATCTCTCCCATGTACACTTTCACTACCCTCGGTCACTCTATTTTGTCGGTCAAAAATTGTATTTGTGTTGTATGTTAAATACACACGATGAGTTGAATAAATTCAACAAATAAATAATCGTTAACCTTTTCCATTGCTATGTTGTCGCGTTATTTTCATCACCTGTAAATGTATGCATGTGTGTCCTTCTCAAACAAAATAAAAACAAAATGGTAAATAAAAAGCCGAGGAGTATTTTACAAGCATGCTACACATTTAGTTTTCATTGTCATCCGTGTGTGCAATCATTTAGCGCTATAATGTTTGAAATATACGAAAATAAAAATTGCCTTTCGAGAAACAGTGTCCTTTTGGGCTTGCTAATTGCCACACGACCGACACAAAATAAACTCTTTTGTTTTTTGTTTCCATCAGAGCGAACACAATTTTTCTTCCCTTCGATCGACAAGCGATTGATTAATTTTCACTACGAATCGCATTCAGTTTTACACATATTTCAATCTTCGGCTCATTTTCACCCGTTTCGAGGTTTTCCTTTAGAATCGAAAAACTTCTCTCCACAGTCTATTGAACACTTTAAATTATATGAAACACACTCTACAAACACATATTACGTCCTCGCTTCCACTCACTCTTCTTTTGCCTTGGTTTTGTACATGAGTGTGTGTGTCTTCGTTCCGTGTCCATCGTTCTATAAATAACATTTTATTTTTAATGAAATTTAAATATATTATCTAACATAAAGTGGCGAATTTTCCATAGATACCGTTTTTTTTAGTGTAACCAATCATGTTCGTTAGAAACTGTAGTATGCTCATTTTGGCATGAGACTTGCATCGAGTGTGTTGTGTCGCTTTAATTTTTAATCGTTGGAATGTATATTTCTGCGTGAATTTTCTTCATTAGTTTTACTCTCTTTCTGTATTGTGTTTCTTCTGCATTTTGTGTTTTTCTTCGAACATAATTTTTATTCAACAATTTTATTGTATTTGAAAAAAAAAGCACAAAACGAAAAAAAAACAACAAACAAACGATTTTTTGAATAAAGCAGTGCAATTAAAATTATTGTTTGTATATGTTTCAACTAAAAAAGGTATCGGCTCGTTCCTGTGAAGGTGGTCACCGGTGCTCTCCTCCAAAGGAATGCTGTGCTCAGGGATGTTGCTATTTATGTGAGTTCAAATTATATTCATTCTCTTTGTTGTTAAATAACAAAAAAAAAATCGATGACTTGAAATTTAAATTGGCTGTTTTTTATGTAGATGCACCACCAAGCGCTCCAAAGACCCCAACACCTAACAATACATCACACATGCTCAACTTATTCTTTATAAATCATTGGTTTTTCTGGTAAGTTTTTTTTTTCATTTCTTTGTGTCAATTTACGACTTTATTGATCAAAAATTAGAAAAAAACAAATCATTGAATCTATTTTCAGGTGTACATTATTCGCGATAGTAATTGCCATACTTTGTGCGTGTTCATTGTGGAAAAAACGGCGTCAAATCTGTGGTTGGGGCTCACCACGTCCGCATTCACAATCGGGTGATTCAACCGGTTCATGCTATGCACCTCCACAATACAGCCGATGTACATCGTTTCATCACCCACCACCCCCATATGCCGAGGTTTGTATTTCAATCGATCGCAAAAGTATCGCCCCATTTTGTTTGTCCAATTAATTAATTAACACCAAATATTCTGTATGTGTCACATTGTTTTTTTTTATTTTTGTTAATTTATCGGTTTTGTCTTTGAATTGTCTCAGGTTACAAACAAACCCGACCTCTATCCATTAGTGTTTTCATGCAATAATTCGGACAATGGAAAAAATGGTGCTAGCTATTTAATGGTTCAATATTTTCGTAATTATATTGTACGGCCGGTGGGTTCGCTGTCAGCAACCAGTACTGTTGATTCATTGAGCTCAAGTTTTATTTGCAATGCAAACGAAGCGAATACATTAATACCGCCACCATATTCACGTGCGGGTAGTCCAAATTTGCCAATGAATATCCAAGATTATTCGGCGATGCCACGTTCAGCATCCCAAATGTGTTCAATGGAACATGGTCAACATCAACGTTCCATTCCGGTTGTCATGACGAATGATGGCGAAATTACATTGTATCGGCACTATCATGAGTTTACCAACGAAAACGGCAATGGTGGAGGTGATGATGACACTTCATACGTTCCATTTCGACGCACACCGAATAGTGTTAGTTTTCAAGAATTGCACAGCAACAGCACTAATGATAACCAACCGAGCCCACGTAATAGCAACAATAATATTCGGGCAAATCCAAACTATGCAACAAATAATGCTGATACATTCGATGATTTAAATAGTGACTTAAGTAAACAATGCAATGTGATAACCGATGCCCAATCATTGAGTACACAACAACAACAACATACATTTGATATGAACAATGTGACAATAGCACAACAGCAACAACAAAAACAACAACAAAGCCACAACAAAATTCATAACAATAGCAGCAGCAACAACACAAAAGCCAAATGCAATCCAATGCAAAATAGTTTATCCTATAGCAATAGTTCGAATGGATTTTTCGATTCATATGATTCAATTGATGACGATACAAATGGATGCTCATTGAATATGCCATCGATTGTTATAAAATCAATGGTCGTTTCAACGCCAACTGGTAATTTACATCGCGATTTTAACGATTTGAATGGTCCGTTGCGAAAGAATTGTCACGATAAATTCGATATTATTAATGAGACAAAGCCGTTAAATGTATCGGCATCGTTGCCATTCAGCGAAGAATCACCGGTAAATGCAGATATTTTGAAGAAATACGGAATGACAATGAGAGGTTATACGGACTCAATGAGCGGTTCGGCTGTATCAAGTTTGGCCAATTTTTCACCAACATCACCGCCACAAGCAACCAGCCCAACCGGCGAAATTCGTGAACTTCTCGAACAGATACGTCAATTACAACAGAATGCAAGCAGCCCCGATGAAATTGCATCACATCAAGATGTACAAAGTGGAGCGGCAACCACAATATCGAATGAATCATCGTCATTGGGCGGCGGTGCGGATGCCTACGATGGTGATGAATCATCCACATCGAACGGTATGATAAATGCGATTCAACAAGAAACGAACCAAAGGCCTTCAACTTTACAGCAAAATCGACGATCACATCCACGAACACGATTCTTTGCAATGTCAGCTGCCAAAAATTTACGTAGTCCAAACGGTAGCGGTGAGGGGCAAATCACTTAAAAATTACTTACTAATTATTATTGATTGTTTTACGATTATTTTTCGATTATTTGTCGATTACTTTAAATTAATTCTGTTCTTTTCTTTTGTGATTCTCCCCTTAGGTAACGGTCATATTTTAAGTTTTAACCGAAATCGTAAAGGTTGGATTTCAAAATCGGCACCAACCACACCCGGAAATATGCCAACGTCTTATATTACCGACGACAGTCCATTGTTAAATGAACACGACGAAGACGCCGAACCAAACGCATAAATCCAAACAAGACAACATTCAAAAATTATTGTACATAAGCGAAGGGATGTGTGGTTTATTTTGTGGTGCATACAAGTGATCGACAGCAGATAGAATTAATTCAGAGAAAAAAAAATTCATATTTATGGTACACACCAACAATAGAATACACAGACAAAGCGAAAATTTGTTGAAAATTAGCCGTTGCTAGAAATGTATACTCTTTTTTTTCATTTGTTAAAATCAAAACTGCTCAAAACAACATAAAGAGAGCGACCATAACGGAGGAACGGATGTCATTTCCCTCCCATTTTTTTCGTGTAATAAAAAATTCAAGCGATTTTTCGACCACAAATTGTACGTTGTTGGATGCAGTGATATACCACATAGTATTTGACTCACGTCACACAATTTCGTTTTTGTCTTATACAAAATGTATCCAATAGCAATGGAACGCTCTCATGTAAATAGAAAATGTAATCGAATTTTGCACACTTTCATTCATTCACAACACTCTCACACAGACACAGAAAGAGGACACAGCATATGATATTTCATGATTTTTTAATTGGGTTTTACAAGAAGAGTAAGAAAGAAAACCCTTTACACAAATAGGATGAATATAATCCCCATATTTCTCTGCGACATACGAAAGAATGCGTTCAGTCGGTTTTTAGAACAAAATAGCAGAAAAATTAAGAGCAAATCATTAAAATAGCCGTGTTATTGCTTCCGGTCTAGGGTTGCTGCATATATGTGTGCAATGAATAATTTACCATCATGTGAAAATCTCGCTATCTCTCTCTCTCACCATGGACAAATTAAAACGCCGCATAGAATTTTAATATGTAACCACTAACCATAGAGTATATATTGATTGTAAATATTTGAGCCAAGACCAAGTTTAAGGCTAAAAAATATCCATTATCCAACATATATGTATGTATTTACTTGAACATCATCATGTTTGAGACGATATTTAAAACAAATTAATTTTCAATGGCGCCCAAAAACCGAATTTCAATTATTTGAACCATGATTGAAAGATATTCTCTTCAAAATTCGAACAGGTTTATTTACATCAAGTGAGAAATAGCAAACAAACACATTTGAATGATATTTTGTTATAGATGAGAAAAGTGGCTGAAAATAAGAGCTCTATTAGTGATAAAAAACAACAATGAATTGGTGAGTTTCCGGAGACAATTTTTTTTTTCAGAACCGCTTTGTATTTTTATAGAAATCCGATGATGAATGATTGATACATTTAGAAGTGAGCACAATATATTATGAATTAATAATAACATCAGTGAATATTACAAATGAGATTGTCACACACACACATTAGAATATGCTAACGACAATTTTGAGAAGTTCAATTTGAAAGCACTTAATATTCTTCACTTTTTAAACCAATTTAACGATTTTTAAATTTAAAAGAAATGTGTTTTTGTCTTGATAATTTTTTTTATGATAAAAAAGAATGCTTGTACTACATGTAAATTGAGTCGTTTCGGTGATTTCGTTACTTGAAAATATATATTATATAATTTAGGACGAGTATGACGTAGCTAGAACAAAATCGAGCTCATTTTGATTTTTAAGTGAATAATTTTTTTTTATAAGAAACTACTTCTTTATAATGCTAAACAAATAATTTCATTTAACACTGACAAAACAAAAAATAAAAATAATAAAATAAACGGAACGTGATCATCGCAAATTATATTATGATATAAACATTGATATTATTCTGTATAATGGAACAAAAAAAACATTGATAAATAAAAATCGATAAATCTAATTCATTTACCTTTTATTCGGCTTTTATTTATTTTAAATAATTTTTTTTTATTTTCTTCACAGTAACGATCAGAGATTGTTTTTTTTTTTTTTTGTCAAATTGAAGACCTTTTTTGTTGTATTAAAGAGCCATAAATAGCCAAATCTCTCACAGATTTTTTCTTTCTTCACAAATTTCGATTGGTTTCGAACTTCAAAAGTCACAAATATACATTTCCAAAATGAATGCTCAAAATATAAGGGATATTATTTTAATTGTTCATTTTTGGTTGTTATGGGTCATTTGAAGAATTTATTGGTAAAATAATTTTTTACCGGCGGTCGTTAATGCATTAGTTTCTTATATATGACTTGATGTAAAAAGAATAAATATTTTAAAAAAATATGGAAAATTTGATTGTAAATATATTTTTTCATTGTCGATGATTTAAACTAAGAAATTTTTGTTTAAAAATTTTTGATAGGACTTAGTCGACCACAGCTTTTTCATTGACTCGAGTGAGGTGAAATTACCATGAATGTCCCTGAAAAAATGAAAATGAAACATATTAAAATATGATTGAGTGCAAAAGGATGGAGTGTTCCATAGAGCCATGTACAGGTACACAGTATGTCTGAATATGAATCGAAACAACACGTCAAAACATTATATACGATGTCAATGGCAAAAATTAACACATTTGAACTCAAAACTCGATAATCGGGTATGAAACGTATTTTATTTTATTGCATTTATGTCATGCAATCGTAAAATCGTTTAAGGCACAAATAGACTCCAACTATGTATGCAGTTTATGTTTGGCCATGCATTTTTATTGTAACCGTGACACATAATCGAGGTACAACCCGTACACTTACATATACATCGCATTTTGAATGCCATTGCTATTTCGATTTTTACCAAGAGATTTTCTAATAATTGGAAATTTGATGGTTAAATAAAAATACATACCGGTAGGTGTATATAAGATCCGCTGTCTTTACACCAATTGTGTGTAATTTTTTAAGGTCATCGATAGAACCTGTGTTGATTATGTTCAATACGCGTTCACGATTGATCATCAATTTTTTAGTTTTGGATCGTTCAGTCGGTGTATTTCCTGCAAAATATATATAATAAACAGAATAAATTCCCTTAATACATGATTTAACTACTTACTTTCAGTGGGAATGATTTGGACTATTCTTGATTTTCGCTTATTAGTTTTTGTTTCTGCTCGTGAATTTAAATGCTTTTTAAGCATTTGATATTGACGCACATTTTCGATTCGGTGCAATAAAACTCGCGGTGATAACGGAAATCGAGCGTAGTTATTTCGAGCTTTTCTGGCAGCAGCTAATCTGGTTATACGCGGTGTGTTTTCAATGGCCGGTACTTCAGGCATCGACGATATCGATTGCTGTTGAACAAATGAATTCTGTGGGCTGGCATAGCATAGATTTGGTGCATCTTCATCAATATTTTGATGCATGGGCAGTACATTTCTTGGTTTTTTCATTGGTTGATAAACGGTTTTTTCAAAATCACTAAGTTTTTTACTCTTTCTCAATATCAATGGCGTCACAATTTTCGGACAATTTTCATTTGTATTTACTATAGCAGTATCTTTAACTTTTTCAATATTATAATAAACTGTGGTGTCTCCTTCTGTATCACACACATTTTCGCTGACGCCACCAATTTTCGTCGAAACGTTCATGGATTTTGTCAAAATCTCATCGTTTACATCGAGCTCAGGCTGTTTATTGTTGGCATTGAGCTGTACAAATTGTGTCGAACTAAGAATGGGCTCGCCGAACTTTGGATCAAGAGTTTCTTGGAAGTCATTTACAGCGTCTGAAATGGTTGACGTTCTTAATAGATTTTTATCGTTTTGTTCCGTTTCCATTGGAACATTTATGATTGCATTTTTGATGAATAATTCACTTTCGTGCACATTTGATACGTCCTGTGGTGTGATTGGTGTGGTTCCACTTTTTGTGACAGATGAATTGTTTTCGACTATATATTCATTGGATACAGTCGGCGATGCTAGAGATGACAACGGCGGTGTTTGCTTTACCGAATGCGTTGATTGTGCATCGTACGGTTTAATCGTACTGTAATGCATCTGCAGTTTCCTAACCACAATTTCACGGTCTGGTGTATTTAGTTGCACATCTTTTAATATATTACGAATGCATTTTTCCTGTGGGTTTGAACTTAAGTTTGTTATTTCCAGTGGATTTTGATCACGTTCGATCACGCTTGACGTGGAGGCATTCGCCCAATTGAATTCAATTGATGGTCTCATGAATGTGGTTTCGTTTATTGGTTTTTCTTTTGGAAATAGGTTGGTGGCAGCTTTCGGCCTGAAATCGTAAAAATAGTAATCAATTTCGATTTTTCGCAAACAAAAACCAATGGAGAAATTCCGAGATGTAAAAAGAATAAAAAAACACACTTATTTGCTTTTTCCAAAGACAATGAGTTATGGCGAGTTTTGTTATTCATAAAACTTATTTTTTTCGATGTTGATGCGATCGTAGATATTTGTTTTGCAGTATTTTGCGTGGGTTTTTTGGCATGTGGCTCACTAAATTGCTGTTTGAATTTATTCTGTTGACTGACTGACCATGGTCGCTTGAACGGAGTTCGCATTTTTGTTGTTGAATTTGGTGTTCGGATTACTTGTTTTGATTCGAATTTTTTCGGTGTTTTCGATTGCTATACAATGAATTGAAAGGGTTTCCAATAGATTTTCGACTCAAATAAATGTAAATGTGAGATAAAACTTACTTTGAATTCATAGATACGGGTATTTTGCCGAGGTGTCATTGTTATTTGTTTAGCATCGGAAACAAATTCGAGTGTAGTACGTGTTTCGCCTTTATTTTCTTTATACGGACTTATGCAGCCCAAGAGCGTCAAGTAGGAGCGCTTGTTCAATGAATCTACAAAATGATAAAAAAATATATTGAAAAATTGAAAACGACCCACGCAATTGTGGTAATTCGATAAAAACCTTTTAGCATTTGCACAATTACTGAACCACTGTGTATAACTTGATCGTTTTTTGCCATTGCAGCGACAATTCTTCTGAACACAAGCAACGACTTATTGATGCTCGCCATTTCGATACGGGCATCGCCTGTGCATTCTGTCTTTTTTATGCTTTCCGTTCCAGCCAAATCTACTAAATTGATCACTGACTCGGTGCTGCTATTTTGTTCATGCTTGACAGCAAGATAGATTTTTAAAATACAGTGCGATCGACTGCTAATTAAATTCATTTTTGTTTCTCGAACACGACGTTTCACTGTACCACGTGACAGTAGTATCAACATGTCATTGGAACTTTTGATCGGTTTCTTGATCGCTTGACCCTTAGAATGACCTAAATTATTATTCAAAAATATATTCGACATCAACGAATTACTTTTATCAAATTCTACCTTTGTTGTAAATCGACACTGGCGATGTTCCATCTAGCAAATCAAATGCTTCTTCCTTGTAAATTTCGATGAACGAAATTGAAATTTGGAATTTCTCGTTGTTTTCACTTTCAAATAATGAGTTCAATATACGAGTGGCTATTCCATTTTGTTCCGCATTCACCTATATTTATTCATAAAATATTATTCAAAAACAAAATAATGAAGAATTTACTTTTCACTTTGTTATTTTGTTGGTACGAATAGTTGTGTTTGGACGAAAGAGAACGAGAAAAAAGTGTGTACATTAGGGTGTTTCCCGCATATGCAAAATAAAAAAATTGGTATTTTCAACGAGAGTCGAGCGCTATCCATATAAATACATTGTGACGTCACACATCTTACACAGAAACGACATCTTTGTAAAACAGACTAACTACAATGTAAAAGTATAGCGAGAGGGGAAGGGAGTAAATAAAAAGGGGAAACAGATACGTTTGATTTACATTGTAGTTAGTCGGTTATTAATAGATGGCGTTTATATAGTGTGCCCTTATTGCGCTTGACTCTCGATTTTCAATAAAAAGAGCGCAAAATTCTGTGCTAAGTGATAACACTA